AAAAAAAAAAAAAAAAAAAAAAAAAAAAAAAAGAACTGTTTAGAAATCTCCTCGTTATTATTTCTTCCCCTTCCGTTGTTAATAGTGCACAAAACTGTTTTTGATTACGCAAATTTAAAGACATCAACAAACGACCAGTCTGTGGTGGTCATCATCAACTATTAAATCTGATGACAAAATAAACTGTTTTATAAGCCATTAGTCTGTTTTTTTTTCATTTTTTTTTCGATATACATAAATAATTTGTCATCAACATTTGACCGGTGATACAATTTGAAGTTTATAGAATAGTGCTGAATAGGTAACCAAGGTTCAAATTTGAAAAAAAAATGGCAACATATAGCAAACTCAGCCAAAAAATTTTTGGAAACTTTTTTTCTTATCTTTTCATTCAAGTTCCAATTTGTTTTTCTTTCAGAATCAACAAATCTTCACAGCAGGTCTGAGTTTTTTTTTTTTTTTCACAAATATAAGTTCTTTTTTTCGGTTTAAAGAAAAACGAGGTAAAAAAAAGTTAAAGGTAAGGAAAAACAGAAAGACAAAGGAAAACCGGGTTTGGCCTTAATCAAACTTAAAAAACTTCTTTCTTTTTTTTATTGCACTTATAAATGCTTATGATATAGCAAATAAAAAAATTCTTATAATGTCCACATTAGCAGCAAATTTAATTGTTAAAAATTTTTTTTAACAATATTCATTAGCCAACATCTGAAAGAAATTTCCATTGTCAACCGCGTATTACACAGTTCAGATGTTTTGTCTGATTTAAAAAAAAAAAAAAAAAAGACAATCAAATTGACTACTCAACTTTAATTTTTCACGCTATTTTACTCATAAAAACTGCTACAGCTCCTAAATTTTCCGCTTTATACTGATGACTTTAATTCCCATAAAGCATTTATGTTTGCAAATTAATGGACCATTTATTGGCTACGAAATAACGTTATAAGCAACCGCAAAAAAAAAAAAAAAAAACAAGATACAGTTCGCCTGAACCGGCAACTTCTTGATCTGATCACGATGGTATGATTCTAGGATTCAATTTTTGCACCAGCTTTTAAGCTTGATTCTGCAGTTACATCAGTTCTGCTATTGCTGTCAAACATATATTTTTGCTTCTTTAGATTTACTGACAGATAGTTCCAATCCGTAATCTTGTGA